TACTCATCATTGTATAAATTATTGATGTATCGTATTTCTCCGCTTCTGTGAAGTGCAAAAATAGTTTTCTATAATGATAACTTCTGTAAAAAAATAACATTAAACTTGGTATTTTAAGGGGTTTCATAACAATGGAATCATTCGCTCTGTATGCTTTTACAATTATAAAACAAAATAAACATTCTTGTTTATCATGTTGAGAATTAGAGAAATCACAGTTCATTATGATTCATACAAAAATATATTTAATTGTGAAAATTAATGTAAAAGTGAGACTTATTTTAAGTGATCAATCGATAGGTATAATTACAATAATGTACTAATCAGAATGTGAGAGCAACGATGAGCCGATTGTTTAATAAGACAGACATATAAAACAGTTTAAGAACGCATCGTCTGATTATTAGAAATATGACATACATTTTCGATCTACTGTTTATATTGAGCAATTTGTGTCATATAGACTTGTGAATAAAAGTAAGCTACAAGATATCTATTTCTTTAACTAAACATGAATTGAATGTGATTAATTCTTGTAATAAAACTAAACACTATTTTTCATCCATACTTTTGGATCACATTTATAACTTAAAGATAACCTTTCTACAACGGGATTTTACTATAGTACTTCGTTTTGTTAATGAAACATATATATGGCACATAGTTTCAAATAAATTAAGCATCAAGTAGAGAGTTAATAATAAATATAATTTTTTTATATCTCAATGAGTGGAAAAATTGCATTTTTGATGTTTCGTGACTTAATGTAAGCCACTTCCTCAGAGGATACTATTGTTTCCCTTGTACTATTTAAACTTATGTTAATTTAATTTTGGTTGTTTATTTACTCTGAAGAAGTGGTTTACATTAAGTCACGAAATGTCAGAAATACGATTTTTATATTAATTGGGATATAACAAAAATGTTTTTGATATATGGTACTTTTATTCTTCAGCCATTTTATAAAGGGTTGCAGAAACATCTTACCGATTATTCGCAAATAATGATAAAATGCTGGTTATGGATCTCATTCTCAGACACGTGCCGAAAATATTCTAGAACGTGTGACTGAAAGCTAGATTGAGGTAATCTGTTCATGATAAACAGAAAGTGACCTCTTACATTCCCAACATAAACAATAGGAAATTACAAACCCTTACTAGAAGTATAATTGTTAAGAAAGTAGTTGGTCGAGTCACCTATATTTCGGATACATCTGTACTGTAGTTTCTCATGAATAATATCAATAATAAACAATAACAACTTCTTACATGTTCGATAGCATTTCATATATTTCTTGAATCAATTTTGCACTTATCAATGTCATTACTACTAATACTCATATTAATACCAATATTGATATAAAAACTACTGGGATCTAACGTGAATATATCATTCTTTCCAAAAAAACATATAGTATTCCGGAGATTTTACCACGTCATCACTATGCATTTTATCATTGTCTGATTACTGAACAATTATCTATTAATTTTCATCAATTTTGACATTAACCAACAATATCATTTGCCAACAATAAAACTCCTGAATGTAATCTATACAAAAATAAATAGTTTTGACTCAGGATTATTGATTTAAGCTTATAAACAGAATAAATAAATGATTAATGATTACTGATATTTTGTGATATTTATTGTATCAGAATTCATAATCATTCATTTCTCTTGTATATTTTTTTAGATATTACAGTATGAGATCAACTACATCACAATCAATTTCAGTCATGTCATCCAATATTTTTTATTGATTATGACATACTGTGTTATTTATCTTGACTTCCCAAGATCGTAAATAACTAGCTCTTAGAATTCATCATTTAACACAAAAACCATCAATTGTGTTTGTTATGTTATGTAATGTCTAGATTATTCTTTTTTTCCTTTGTCACTTACTTAATACCTTTTTCTCAACGAATTTCTAATTGTTGAAAAATTCAAGGGGTTACTAAATTGACTGGCTTACATTAAAAGTCTAGTAGCTAAACAATTCCTCCTTAATTCATCACTGGTTGAAATTAATAAACGTGTAATGTACGAAAAGCCATTTCATTAGCTTTTAGTGGCCCGGTATCTGACTCTAAGTAGATTGTATAAATGATTGCTGTCGAAATATACATTCTGATTATCATCGTATATAATTATCGACTTAATCCGTATTAGTGAATATAAAGGAATTAAATAAGTCGAATACGAGAATGGACTTTTAAATACGATTTACTTGGAGTCAGATGCCGGGCCACCAAAGTAGTGGTCCCGACGTGATCATCGTCCGATCTAACTAATGTCAAAATGAAGAGCCACACAGTCCATAAGCTTCAGACCTCCCCTTATTCTGGTTTCACTAAATATTGACTTTCTGTTCACCGATCGATATTTATATTCGACGTTTAGTTTCTAAGCTCCCGAGATTTGTTGACATTGCAATGAGCTAAACTGTAAGAATATTAATAATATTTTATATAAAAACATAATCTGTTTCTCTAATGAATACTATTTTAATGATTTGTAACAATGAATCTATTTTAATGGTAAACTAATCTGATTATTTCATGAATAAAAGTTGAATGACAATTGACATGATAAAATAACTTCTTTTTCAGGTTTAAAAAGTGTGCATTAGTTTTTCATTTCACTATGTTAAACAGTGGATATTGGTATATTTTGATCAATGTTAATTAAAGTATTTATTGAACTGTCTAGGGTTTCAGTTATTGATAATTATGTTTTTATACTGAAATCATCACAATGCATATTGTCAAACCATTCAATTTCATAATTGTTTAATATTGTCATTTTTTACGATTTCGCTTTTTAATTTAAAATAATGTGGTAGATGTTTTCAAGAAAGATTTTCATTTCGAATAGAAAGTCCTAATTAAATTTAAGATACTATATGTTTATAACGTGATAAAAAGTAAATACCAATATCGTAATATAGTGATTTGACTTCATCTAATTAAACATTATAAACTATTGAATCTCAACTTATTAGTCTAAAGTTAACTTGCTCATTGAGTAATCTAAAGTTATTTGATCCAACCTCTAATGACGACTAAAGTTTACGTTGTCAGGTAATCCCTAATGAATATGACATAGTGATTCAGTTATTTTTGATTTTTATTGATTAATCAACCAAGGTCACTTCTTAATCTAAAGTATAAACTATGAAATCTGTTCAAATTACATTTACTAATCAAAATTGATATTTTCTCTATATGAAAGTATATAAATAAATTACACAGTAAAATAGTTTAATGTCTTTATTGATTTTCTGTAGTTAGAGTTTTAGTTTCTAACTAACCGCATTATTTTGTATTTTTCCAATATTTCTTTCAGTTTAAAGTTTCACACCACTTATTTTATGACTTAAAGAAAATAAGTAAATTTTCATAGTAATAACTTGTGTGTACATGTAACTACTTAAATAGTTAATATGATAACCTAATATGATTGATTTGTTAGCTTTCTTTTTAATATAAATTTGTTCAGTCATTCATGATTTATTAATTGTATTTGATTTCATATAAAATCTAAGCCAAAAAAATTGCATATTACACTTACCCCTCCCCTTCACACACACATACACCTCTATCATATCGACATTATTGATTTAATGTTGTACTTTTTTTATGAGGAGATTTTGTGAATACAAAAATAAACAATTTCAATAATAATAATAATAATTTTATAAAATGGTTTTTTAACTGAAATCACTTAGATGTATACAAACTAAGTTAGGACATAATTTACCAAACGATATGACTGTTTTCACAGAGATAGGACTGTAGTTGATGTAATGACTGTATATAACTTTTTAACATATATAGATAATCATCTCAATAATTTGATGTCATAATGTGAATATTATATCTGAACAACGTTTACTCATAAAAACCGGATTATTGACGAAACGTGTTCCTCTGGATAAGTACTGAAAGACAGAGTAGTTAGTCAGTAAAAATATAGAAAAATTATACACCTATAAACGAAATCGTTACCATAAATTATTTATGAATAAATATCAAACGATCAAAGATCCCACTTAAGAAGTTCTGTTTTAAATATGAAAGTAATCAAGACTCTTAGATCGTTTGTCTATTAATGAACTTAAAACTATATCTGAAATGAACATTTCTTCAACGTCAATCATTTGAAATAAAGTCATTAGAGCTTGAAATTGTGGGTGGAAGTCAGTGGGAGTCCCAGAATAGGAGGGAACTATGAATTCCAATTAGCTAAAAGCTTTCAATTGATAGCTGCTCATACTAAACTCACTCTACTAATCGACTTGATAGTTAGCATAACCCTCTATATTGTATCGACACGATTGTCTAATCTGGTCTAACCTATAAACTATGAAGATGAAAATTTTTTTACTCTACTCATTCATACGAAATTCATTACAGAAAATCTCCACATTAGTATATGAATACTTGAAACTATTCACATATTACATACAATCTTCAGTCCCTTCAAATTTTTGGATTAACTAGAGCTTATTAATACCTAAAAAAATTATAAATTCAAAACCAAAGCAATGACTCTGGAATGCTCGTTTCTCATAAATTCCACTCTAGCTTTGACAGAAATAACAACAGTTAATAACCATATCAGACATTCGACTAAAAATTACGTAACATGGAAGTGGTATTACTTATGAGGTAGAAAAAGTTTGTTAATTGTTAAAATAAATCTACAAACTATGTTTTTAAGTACTATTGTGAATGAGATATTTATAAAATTTGTGCGAAAATCACCAAGATTGTAAATACTCATTGGTGACCGGTGTCAACAATCAGGAGGATTAATGTTCAATCATTTTGTTAACGACCGTGGTATTATCTTTTTACACACTATAAAGCTTCTGTATTTTTTATCATTTCTATACACAATTTACTATAAATTCATAGTCAAGTGTTTTCATCTTCTATGGATTCATACAACTTATTATTTCCAATTTGTGTTTTTATTTCGATATTACAGCTAGTTGTTCCTATACACAAAGTGGTCAGTGGAAAAGATTTGGATGTTCCAGACGTGGTTAGAAGTATATGCCTATGGTTAGGTTAGTATATCATTTTAATATTTTTATCTTATGTCAAAATACTTACTTCTTCTTTACTAATATTTAATCACTCAGACTAGTTGTTTGAAGTGTTTTTCATGTGAATATCTCTTGAACATCATTTCGACTCAGAAGAAAAAAATACAAAATATAGCTTAATTAATTAATGATACCTGTCTTAGAAACGTAAAAAACAAACTTATACCATGGAAATTTCAAATATTCTTCCTTTACAACCAATAAAACATTAGTCACATGTATTTAATCGATCGAATAATACGAACTAGTCATATTAGTTATCGATACATATTCAGCTAGGCGATTAATGAACATTATATATTGAGTCACATAATGAAAAATGACGCATTGAACAAATAAATAACTGAAGACCAACTATTGTTGAACAGCTGTTTCATTATGTTCTAAGACCCTGAAACAGTGTATACAACTAGTAAAAAACGACTGCCAAATACTAGTATTAATCGTGGTAAAAACCTATCATTAAATTAAACAATTGTTAACAGTATTGAATAACAATATTGAATATCTATGTATTACGTAAATTATTTGAAACCAATAAGCCGACTAAAATGTCACTTATCATTCCCTTATATTTTAAGTGCAATGTTTATTTATTTGTTTATTTCGTGAACAACAGTAATGCCTCGAGAAGGCAGTGAGTAGGACTTCCTTGGCAGTGGCTGTATACTCGTGGACATGTAATAGCATTTCAAGGAAAGTGGGCTCTTCCCACCCTTGGCCATACCAGGGCATTTGGGGGCTTAAGTGCAATGAATAGACACATACTACTAGTCATCAGTCTGATTACTTCAAAATCCAGTGATAATTAGTTGAAGTGAACAGTCCATAAATCCTAAAAATGTATAACCAAACGGTTTATGAAAAATTAATATATCAACCATTATTTTACGCATGAAATCAGATGTGCTCTTTTGAATACGTTTCTACAGATTTAGCTGGAAATAATTTTTTCTATTCAGTATTTTCTTAAAGAAAAATAGATCACACTTTAAAATGAAATTACTTGAACGAAACAGAAAATGAGCTATGCACAACTTATGTATTTTAGTCTACTTGTATGATACTGAAGGAAAATATCTTAAGTCTAGAGTATTTTGTTGCCATAAAAATAAATCCAAATGTGGGTTTGCGGAGATTGTAGTAATTTAAATAGCTGAATTCACGAGTCAATCTAAAGTAGATCACCTTTGAAAAGGTGGAAACACAGGACAGTCGTTTCGTCCACGCTCAGGACTTGAACCCATGACCTTCAGTCTCAGATGGGGACAGTTATCCCTTTCAGACAATGGATGAAGGTTTGCGCAAAATCATAGATCGATTAAAGTTAGATATCAATGCCGTTGGATGCCGTCTCAGTGGTCTGGAAGTTAGGCGTTCGCACAACAGATCGAGAGTTCGAGTCCCGCATATAGGGTCGTGGATACACACTGTTGGGCAGTCCAGTTTGGTTTACATCGACTCACAAATTTGACTATTAAAATAAATATAAGTGTAAAGATCATTTAAGGTCAGTTAAAGAGCTATGACAACTCAAATAGTATTAAACGCTTACTTCACCTTATTTTGGCACGCCATATTCTCAAGTTTCAGTTCAGATGCTGTCTTATTTAAAAGCCTCGAATAGATTATGGTGAAATATTGGTTATAAATGGAATCACGTAATTAGTTAATAGAATGTAGTAACTATATGTAGGTTTTTGTCTGATTCTAAGTCTGATAGCATAAGCATATCGAACTATATCTGGCACCGATCAAGTAAACTGTTATTATATTTTCAATCTATATCGTTAACGTTTTGTGTGTTTATTTATTAACAAAAGAGAATATACTAATTTTCGTAAATAAGGTCCTGAGAAAGTTTCTTCTAGTTTATTCTTAAACAAAAGTTCAAGTGATATGAAATATTTCTCATACTGCTGATGCATTCACTAAAAGCACTGTCTTAATGTCTATCACTTAACCAAATAATCATATTGACAATATGTCGCTTGTGTGAACCAAATTAAATGTTAGTAAAATAAATCAGGATTTCAATTTTTAATACATGAAAATTCTCTGAAATAATCATCTAAATTTATGAGAACTAAAATTGAGTAACATTTTGAAACTTAGAGAACAGATGTATGTTGGCTAATAATGAAAATGGAGAAGCATATTTCATCCTGTTTGTGACTTATTTTCTGAGTATTTCTGTATTGCTATATTGAATTGCAAAGAACTCGTATCTGACACTTTTTTTTACTTCAAATGCCCAATCAAGTCCAGATAGCCACCAATTTAATGTTTACGGTGTTATTATTAAGGAAAGAATTTGAATTATTGCGTTGTTGATAATCAAAACAAAATAATACTTTTATGCTAACTTTTTGTAGGTTATTTAAATTCAACTATTAATCCAATCATTTATGTGATATTCAACCGAGATTTTCGGTTACCATTTCGAGAAATAATTTTATGTCGATGTCGTGGTATGAATGCACGTTTAAGATCACAGAAATATGCTTTAGAATACGGTGTGGCAACTTCAAATGCAAGTCAAGGGGGTGGTGGTTGTACTGGAGGTACTGTTGGAGTTGGTTTTACTGGTGCAGGTTGCAGATTTAGTATTTCTGGACCGTCACTAACAAATAATGAGAATAATAATATTAATAGTTCTATAAATGGAGTCACCAGTGTTTATAGTGGAGGTATAAATTTATACAATAAAACGAGATCTCCAAATAATTCATATAATAACACTGTGAATACTTATCAATTGGAACGCTTCAGAAATCAATCAAATCTGGGTTTTAGGCATTCAGGCCAAATAGACAATCTTAATATGTCAACTGGTCGATATACTAGATATCAAAGTGGATCCGTTTCATTTAATCGATAAATAATTAAGACAGAAAATACAACTTGGTTTATTTTATGCTCTATACATTTCATCATCATCGTTTCCATTGATAAATGGAACTGTGAAATTTCCAAAGAGAAATACACCAATTATTTAATAGTCCAATTATCGTCTTTCAATGAATATCAAAGAAATTAAATGTAAATTCTTCAATACATATATGAAAACCTAATAGATAAATGATTAAAAGTAAAAAGAAGAAAGAATAATTTACATTTTCCCTTTTTAAATTTTATCAAAATAGAAACATTAAGTATTGTAGAGATAACAAGTTATCGTGATCATATTACCTTTCTATTTTGGATTGTTTGTTTTTCTTGTTTATCACCTGCATAGATTTAGCCCTGATTAGTAAAATGCAAAGTTTAACTGTTCTTTTTTTCTAATCTGTTCACACTTCTACGTATTCTGTATTGTTTCCATTACTTCTTATCTGTTTATATTTTCTTATTTTCCTACTACCCGGCGTTTCAATGTCACTATTTATAAAATAAATTTTTCAGACACAGTTATTTTTATTAAATGTACCAGTGTAATCACTATTTACCGCTTATCATTAAACTTCATAAGAAATTCCTATACATTTATATAAGTAAATGTACCGCGCCAATATTTCAACATATTTGCTTTAAATGCCCTATAACAACCAAACAAATAAATCAGTAAAAATTAATTTATGTGACTCAGTTATTGATTAACTTTTTCTTAGATTCACTGACTTATTCATTGTTAACTATTACTAATTTGAAAGTGTATGTACTATAGAATTAACAACACTATACATACAATTATACTATAATAATGAAACAACTGTAACAACAGTGAACAAAGACATGAAGGGAAAGAGTTAAAGATTACATGAATAACACATAACATCCTGTGTATGTACACTTAAGAAAAATTTCCAGTTATTTGCATACTTATATATATGGATGTTTTTGTTGTTCACAAATATCAAAACAAAAAAATGTCTCAATGAATGTTTCCTGACAACATCTTCAAGTAAATTATTTATTTTACTACTTTTAAATATTATCTATTCAATACACTTTCAATATTCCTTTTTCATTATTTCCGTCTTTCACTATATCAGTAGAACATTAAAATAATAATATTTTGCATTTGATAAAAATGATTAATATATCTACTCATTAGTAGTAAAACATTAGAAGAAATAAATTCTGCCGTCATTACTATTGTTTATTTTATTAGTAATATATACCTATTGAATAATATGAGATATATTTCTTGAAATCAAGTGATTGCATCAAGGTAATGTTATGTACGCTTTATCAACTAACATATTTGTTTCACTTATTCAATATTCATAAAAGATTACATTATATAATCGCTGTCACTAGTGAAATATGTTTTTTTGTCTCTCTTTCTTTTCTTGTTCACACGGCAAAAACAAATCAGTAATAAACTTATAAAATTCTTTTTTTCTTTTCTTTTTATTGCATTTAAATGCGCGTATGGATACTCAAACTTTCTTAATCATTTTGTTCTTTCGAATTCTCTATATCCTATATAGTTTGTTCCCAGAATTAACATTATATAAGTTTGTAGGATTTATATATATATATATATATACATTAATATGTTGTATATATTAATCTGCAGTTTTTTGGCTTGCTCATACTGCAGTAAGCACATCATGTGATCATTGTATATTTTGTGTTTATTAATTATATCATTTCTATTTGCCTGTGTTGTTTATTTATTTGTTTTCTTTTTCGGACAGAAGTTTGTGCGCTTAATTTTGTTTATTTATGGACATAGTCGAATATGAGTTTTATTCGATCCTACTTTACTTTTCTGTTTACTCTTCACGTTTCCTCTATTCACGTTCATCTTCTTTGATCCTTATTACTATTATTATTATTACTATTTTGATTTTATGATATGTCCATTAGCATATCATGCATAAGAGGTGATTAAAATAATATTCATAATAAAAGAATTTACCCGAAGAAATTTATTTGATAAAATAGTTTTATTCAGTGTACGAATCCTTTCACGACCATTTTATTTTCAAAGCTGTACAGCAGTATGTAAATATTATATATATAATTTATTAATCAGTGAATAATTCTTTATTAAAATCCGATTATAGTTTGTGTACCATACAACTGTCTCTTCCTTGTATGAGACTCTTAAACAGTGCATATCCACAACCTTACTGAGGATCAAATTCACCAGGGTATATGAGTGAGTGCCATAACTCTAGATCACTGAGATGGCTTCTGAAGTTCACATGTTCAACTTTAATCAATTTACAGTATTACCCAACTATCTTGTAATTCCATTGATGGGTAACTGCTTCTTATTCAACACGATCAAACTTCACTAGTCACTGTTTTATAATATCTCTACATAAATAATCTGACCAAATTAATCATTAGTAAGCGTATGAGTATTAATTACTATAGAGAGCTTGAGGGGATTATTACACTTTATAGATTCCATGATGTAATCTTTAAAATTCGACAACTCATGTCACCCCCCAGATGAATTTGATTAGTTGTTATCTAAAATTCAACTACATGATAATTTTAAACAAACAAAAAGTTATTGAAGGTATGGTTTATAAAACATGAGATATACGTTGAATTAAATATGTTTGAATGATAATTAAGCAATGTGTATATAAACGACCTTTGTAATACTAAGAGAAATAACAATATTATATTAGAGTGAATTAGAAATCAAGAAATAGATACAATCAAATGAAAGCAGTAAAAATTACAAGGTAAGTCCATGGCCAAAAAAGTTATCTAAAAAGAATATCCTTACACGGACAACTAAAGCTTTAAATTGTAGATGACCGAAGCTTCCTCAATATAGTGTGGGTTAAAACTCAGACCTCTTGGTTTCCTTGATTAAATTTTGTAAATTATATTAAAGCATAAATCACAATTGGAGTTATTTTTTCTGGTTAGCGTTTTTTAGCGAGTTAGTTTTCTACAGGATAGGGACGCTAACACCATGCACAACTCTCCTCAGATGCAGACGTAAAAGCGAGGATTGGCAAAGCTAGAGCGGCATTCCTTCAACTGAAGAACATATGGAACTCAAAACAACTTTCAACCAACATCAAAGTCAGAATCTTCAATACCAACGTCAAGGCAGTTCTACTGTAAGAAGCTGAAACTTGAAGAACTACAATAACCACCATCAAGAAGGTACAATTATTTATCAATAGCTGTCTACGCAAGATACTCAACACCCATTGGCCGGATACCATCAGCAACAGCCTTTTGTGGTAGAGAACCAACTAGCTTCCAGCTGAAGAAAAAATTAGGAAAAGACGATGGAAATGGATAGGACATACATTAAGGAAATCATCAAACTGCATTACGAGCGCTAACTTGGAATCCTGAAGGGAAGCGGAAAAGAGGAAGGCCAAAGAACACAATACGTCGGAAAATAGAAGCGGATATGAAAGGAATGAATAAGAACTGGAAAGAGCTTGAAAGGATTGCCCAGGACAGGTTGGATGGAGAATTCTGGTGAGCGGCCTATACTCCTTCGCGAGGAACAACAGGCGTAAGTAAGTAAGTAATAAATCACAAGCTAAATGTTCTACATCCACCACATGCTACAGGACACATGACGTGAATGAGTTATTTTGACATCCATTGAGCCATACAGAGAGTTGCTCTAGAATGAGATGATGAAGAAGCTTATGGATCTAATTCCCCCAGAGCAATAGAAATGGTTTATGCACATTGAGTTGGCTAATCTTGGCAACTTATCCTTCACATGACGAACATAAAAAAGATTGACAATAGTATTTTATAATTATAAAAACTGATGAAGAAGTGACCGAGAACGATTGTTCATTACAATATTATTTGTTCTTAAACAACATGGTAATTTTTCAATACCTAAATATAATTAGTAAAATAAATTATTATTCACAGTTGATTGATCACTGGGTGGTGATCAGTGTCATGTGCGTCAAGTCCTTCTCATTGCAGATCAAATGCTATCGACCGATTTGTAATGTGAACACTAGCCTAGGTGACTCGATATTGCGTGCACTATGTTGAAATAAGATGGTGGTCAAGTCATCTAGACTGGTGGCCGCACTACAACTAGGTCAATAGCATACGATCTGCACTAAGAAGGACTTGACACACATGTCATTGGTCACCGCCCAGTGATCAATCAATTTTGATTACATCTCAGTCCTACAGGAGGTCGATCGTGACCCGGATAGCTCAGTTATAACGTCTCTGAATGTGAAGCTGGGTGACACGGGATCGAATCCGTCAAGGAGCACCAGTTCCCTTAAGATTGCAGGTACACCCTGCTGACGAGTGCCAAGCAGCACGAAACCCGGGTCCAGGTTTTCCTTTTGATTACCTCCGACGACCATCTTATAAATTATTCTTATTTTTCGTCTAATGTATAAGACATTTGTATTTAAGCATAAGAATATTATATAAATATTCTTTTTCTTGGTTCACATTACTTTACTTAAATGTGTAAATAATAAAAATAGTAGATAAACTAACTTTCCTTACAATTGAAATCAATCAACTTCCTTTTGTTATTTAACTATATTCATCTTACTAATACATAATTTAACATACATCTTACAATTCAAATTCTAATTTTACCTTATTTTACAGACAGTAAATTATTAATCCTATTTTTCTTTTTTTCCAATCATTAAATATTCTAAATATGCATTGTCATGTTGTAGTAAAGGATTAAGAAGAAGAAGAAAAAAAAGAAAAAGAAAAAGAAAAATTGAGTAGAAACAAGGAACCAATAACATATGTCTGTTTAAAATACTTAAATAATGTAAAACTTTAAATAAAGATACATTAGATAGGAATGTAAATCATTTTACTTAGTAATTAAACAAATAAAAATAAATAAATAGTTACTAGCTTATTTACTTAATGAGAAATAAATTTTAATATGAGAATAGGACTGTATTAATAAAAATATATATTCAGATGGATTGATTTATATAGAATCGTTTCAGTTGTTTATATCATTGTATAGTATCCAATAAAGTACTAATGAAAACATGGGGAGATTATAAATGCTATTCGATACAAGTGTGGGCTTCCTCAGTGATACTCAATCACAATTTTATAAGAAATGGAATACAAAACGTCCTATTTTATATATTGGTCTAGATACATTATAATATAGTACTTCATATGCAGAAGACTGAATATTCTTGATAGATTCATTTTTCTATTAGATATAAATAATACTTATGGTAAACAATGTCTAATATTACGAAAAAGATCATTGGTCAACATTTACTCCATTTCGATTGTTCTTTATTATATAACTTGTGTTTAGTATAGGTTGCTTCAGACAGTAGAATAATCTGTTAAACTACAACGTTACAATTGTGGTAAATGTATGACTAGAGAATAATAGTCAGCATAATGATATAGTTGCATATAAATAGTAAATACTATTGATACTGATTGTAATGATGTACGAACCCTTATTCATACTGATATTCAACACTGAAGAAATATCATAATATGGGCTACAACATTTATACACAATGAATATAAGTTACTGGAATTTCTTACCTGATTTCTTTTCATCTTAAAGTAGGAATCTACCACGAATATTCTACTGAATTAAGAAAGAACACTTTATGAGCTAATATAATATATATTTTAGTCTTGTTTATGTCTTATAGAAATGTTCATCTTATTGGGATCTACATAATATAACTGACTTCGGACTGACATTTTCTTTCGCATTAATATTTAGTGATTGACGTTCGTAAAAAGTGGTATCCTGGCAATAAAAAAATCAATTGGTGTTTATCTTGTAAATATATATGTATGTATATTATTTATGTGATACCTTTTAATTACTTATTTGGATGTATATAACTTTTAAAGTTTTATGTCCTTGTGACCAATTTTTTTATTACTGGCTTATGATTGTTCAGTATAACGTATAGTAATTCAAGTTTATTGAGTTCTCTAAGTTGAATGGCCTAGTGAGGAAACTCTGATTGTCATTCTGGGCAATATCATCAAAATCCAACTCACTACTGACATACATCTGCTTGAAGTGATGATAAAATCTACGGTGGTAATTAAAAAACGACTTTTGACTTGTCCTCAGTCTAATGTATTTTATTAAAGGTTCAACTAGCTTTGATCATGCTCTGAAAACTGGACAATTGTTATCTGATAACTACTGCACAACATTCCAACTCACTCATTAATTTTCTTTCTTTACGATGTTCTGTTTGACGCACTTGACAAGTGGAATCAATAAACTATAATATCAGGCTCTAGTGTATTTGAGCTTGTCATTTATTTCACTTATCTGATCACTTTATCATAAGTCGATCATTTTTGTTTATTTTTTTGGTTTTTTCAAACCTATTTAATGTTGGTGTAGAATGATCTGTCTTTTGTATCTGATATTTAAAGTTTATTTTTCATACTGCAAAATATTGCTTAGGTTGTTTTTAACATTAAAGAGATGTTTCGTTGATGAATGTAAACAAAAGAAAAAACACCGACAAACTCCTATAGATTATTTATTTACTAGAACATATACTGTGACATAACAGTGAACCATTCAAGTTGTTTAGAATAGTCAAGTGGTTTTCAACCATATATTATTGACGAGCTGCTCAATAGAATTTGATTAACATTAGGAGTAAAGAAAAATGACATTCGTTGATATTCATCGCCCATTATTGGGAATGAATGATAATCTGTTTCAGAAATTTTGTGAAGTGTTTAGGATTTTCGATACATGTATTTGAAGAAGATCCTAATCCCTATATCTAACAAAAAATAAGGAGAATTCCACGGAAGACATTTATTTTCGACAAAATCATTTACTCAAGCTGTACATTCATATTTACAATTGTATGGTTAATGCCTATAGAAGGATAGAAAGAATTTGATAACTAAGTGATTCCGGACTCCAAATATCAAACGAGGCTGCGTAATAATCAGGGACTTGGAGAATAATAGGAGGATGAGAATAATTTACTGGTCAGAATTAAGAAAGATAATTGTCCACTTGACAGATATTGAAGAAAACGAAAAAAGACACGAAGGTCAAAATAATAAAAACTGAATAATAATCATGAAAAATTGTCTAAGGACAATAATAATTAATTATGGTTTACAATTACAAAACATCAATTTA